GCCTCCCCGTACCTCACCCGGGGGAACTGCGATCCCCCGCAATCCCCCCCGAAATGACCTCTGCATTCACCACAAAGCTCAGCTACATAGGACATTGGGGATCCAGAATCAGATCTCTTGATATGTAACTTCACTTCCAAAAAGTAGTCGTGACAAGGGAGAAGAGGACATTTCCCAGTAGGGGGGGAAAGACAGATATAATATACATGCCTGTCTTTTCCCACAGCTGTGTCTAAATGTCATATGGCTGTTGACTGAGGTAAACATCACATGTTTGGAGATCTGATCCCTAGAGCTGCCAGCTCTTGGTTGGGAAATACCTGGAAATTCAGAAAGTGGAGCCTGGGGAGGGGAGGGGCCTCATTGGTATGTCATGCCATACAGTCCATCCTCCAAAGGAGCCATTTCCTTCAGTGGAACTGACCCCTGTTGCCTGGAGATCAGTTGTAATCCCCAGAGATCTCCAGCCCCACCTGGAGGCTGGCAGCCCTGCGACCCAATAGGAAATTCTCAGTGTTCCCTCTAAGCTGAGTTAGTGAGAGCTAGCTCACAGATTTTTAGCCTCCAGCTCACACGTTTTTGTCTTAGCTCAGGAAGGGATGGCTCCAGAGCAGACTAATTTATGCAGCAGCCAAGTTGCTTTAATGCCAGTAGCTCACAAAGTAGAATTTTTGCTCACAAGACTCCACAGCTTGGAGGGAGCATTGCATGTAGTCCATCTAAAATCATACAGAGATTTAAACTTCAGCCTATCCACAACCCAAACCTATCATTCTACCTCCTTTGTCAGACACTGTCTCCTGTTCACCAAGAATGACCGTTCAGTGGCTAAACAAGAGTCTTTTTTTACAACTGCGGTGAACGCTGATCAACTTACTGTAGTCAGCGCCTGGAAAAGGCAGTAGAAAGCCAGATACCACACGACTCTTCCAGCTATGAAGGGAGGCAGGTACCACAGAAAGAAATAGGACACAATGATGAAAGGGGTACAACCCAGCATCCTGAAATATAAATGATATGGCACACATTCAAACACAGGTATGAAGCATTTTGAAAGCTAAAAGAGTTAAACCAAAACAGGGATAAATTCTATCTAGGTAATAATTTTTGTTACAATCTGTTCAGTACTTAAGGCTATAAAGTTGGAGACTACTGCCTGCCTAACAACCACAGGGAGGCTATTCCATAAAATAAGAGCAGCCACTGAAAAAGCCCTAACACTGACAAACTTAACTACCTTACAGAATGGTAGTTTAAAAATTATGAAGGTTTTCAAAACTTTTTGGCTATTATGGCATGATTTACTCAGGATCCATGACGTTAAAACACAACCATTCTCTCTCTCTCTCTTGTGTGTTTTTTTTAAATGAGAGAAAAGATTTACTAGTGCAAAGGAAAAGAAGATTTACCACTGATTTATATGAAAGGAAGCCAAGGGGCCAACATTCAGGGGCAGATCTGAGGTATGGTGTAATTCAAATGCTGTCCAATTACAATGTTATAAACCTCTCTCACAGAAGTCAATGGAAGTGTTCAACTTCTTGGGAGAAGGCTAAACCAAGTGATAACTTTTTTGGGGGGTGCAAGATTGTTGGTGGTAGGTCCATACATCAGAATATATCAGCTTTCTGTTCCTCCAACAGAATTCCTGTTACAGAATTCTAACATAACATAAGAACATAACATAAGAGATGCCAATGTTGGATCAGGCCAAAGGCCCATCCAGTCCAACACTCTGTGTCACACAGTGGCCAGAAATACCAGTGCCATCAGGAGGACCACCAGTGGGGCCAGGACATTAGAAGCCCTCCCACTGTTGACCCCCCCCAAGCACCAAGAATCACTTGCCCCAGAGCCCCTATCTATACCTTGTGGCTAATAGCCACTGATGGACCTCTGCTCCATATGCCTATCTAATTCCCTTTTGAAGCCGTCCATGCTTGTAGCCGCCACCAACTCCTGTGGCAGTGAGTTCCATGTGTGAATCACTCTTCTGTATTTACATGGACTCCCTTCCAGAGAAGGTCAGCACACACAACGGTTTTTAGTCTTAAAGACTCAGGCTTAGATGCAGATGGTCAGAATGTCCCGTTCACTGGGCCTTCTAGCATTCCTTGAGCTGTACTCCTGTGCTACCTTTTGTGTTTTATTTTGTTCCTGTTAATTTTGCACACACCAGTTCTATTTCGTATCTTCTAGTGTCACGAAATTTCCATTCCCACAATTACTGTTGAAAACTGAAGCTGGGTGGTCTACTACTGTACACAATCTTTGGCCAATTGGACCCTTTTTTTTAGAGAGAGAGCCAGTGTGGTGTAGTGGTTAAGAATGGTGGAGTCTAATCTGGAGAACTGGGTTTGATTCCCCACTCCTCCACATGAAATCTGCTGGGTGACCTTGGGCCAGTCACAGTTCTCTCAGAACTCTCTCAGCCCCACCTACCTCACAAAGTGACTGTTGAGGGGAGAGGAAGGAATGTGACTGTAAGCCACTTTGAGACTCCTTAAGGTAGGGGTGTCAAACAGAAGGCCCATGGGCTGGAACCAGCCCATCCAGGGTTCTAATCTGGCCCATGAGCAACTGGTGTGATAGGAGGGAACAGGAGGCTACTCAGGGGGGAGTGGGCGGACCCACTCCAATTGTGGCTTCAGTGCAGAACAACCACATCTGCAGCAGTCAAGAGAGCCCCTTCACTTCAGCGGCAACCTCACTAGTAAGTCGGGGGCCACTGCAGCCGCTTTCTCACAAGCTCAGGGTTCCAAGGCAAGGTCACACACCTCTCCACTTGGCCTGCAACTCTGGGGATGCTGTACCAGGTGGCCAGGGGATCAGTGTTTGCACATGGAGGGGGTGCAGACAATCCTCTGCCGGGGCCTGCTAGCAGCTAGCAGTGCTATATTTGCTCCCCTATGAGGTGGTTGTGCTTCGGCCCATGGGGGGGGGGCTGTTCTTCGGCAGTTTCTTCTGCACATCAGGGACTTAGTGCTGCCACCAAGCACACAGTGTGGAGTCTGGGCCTCCTTCCCTCATGAACCATGTGGAAGCCTTTAACCATAGTCAGCTGCCACCTCATATGGGGGTGGTACTGGTGATCTCCGGTTATACTGGTCGCTGAGTGGCCTGGGGCCTCTGCCATACACACGGCCTTGTGTGTGCAGTGCCTGCCCCACTGGAATATCTGGCTGCCTTTGGGCTGCCACTGCATGGGGGTGGTGCGGCTTGCCAGTGATCTCTGGCTTGAACACCCAACATCGTTCCCCCCATGGATCCCCTGGTGGACTTGGCTGCAGGGGGCTGCTGCCACATGGGTGTCTCTGGCTTATTGGGCTTTGCTCAGCCTGGGTCCTGTCATGCGTGCGGCCTCACGCCTGGCCTGCCACCCCCCACTCTGCTTCCTCAGGCAGAGGAAGTTAGTTCAACTCATCTTCCTGGACTCCCTTCCACAGTGGCTCAGGGGTAGGGGGACCTCACAACACCCAGCTACTTCATGTTTTTACCACGGGGCCCAGGCTCACAGCATTCGCGGTGGGAGTGGGAAGGGGGTTGCCCCCCCTCCAAGCAGCATGGGGGCAGCTGCCTAACGCTGGACCGCTAGCTCTCCCGTACTCCCATGCGAGTTTTCCTCTGTGCTCCCCCCCAACCCAGGGGGTCTTGCAATGGCACGCCAACTTGGAGCTTACCAACTGCTTTCCTTTATAAAGTTATATCTCTGGTACCTGGCATTACATTTTATAGCACACATGGCCTGACCCCAACAAAGTCACAGTTATGTCAGATCCAGCCCTTGTAACAAATAAGTTCTGCGTAAAGAAAAGTGAGGTATAAAAACCTGTTCTTCTTTTATTATTATTTTAAAAAACATACACAAGCATCCTCGGAACAAAGAAGTACCCAAGAACTCACACATGTAAAGAAAACTGATGCATGCACACACTTGAGCGCATGAATCCTATGGTTTAGAAAAATCATTTAGAGACCCTGAGAACAGCAGAAAGATGGAACTTCACATGGCCACCTACCACATGACATGCCAAATGTTACAACAGCCACTTTGGATATCAAATAATGGGACAATTGTTATGATAACCTTCTCATCCCCCATCACTTAATCTCAGCAATGGGGGGGGTTTTGAGGGAAGCAGGGGTCATTTCCTACAGGAGCGCACAGGAGCGGAGCTCCGGCAGTAAACAGCCCAGGGGGTGGGCACATGCAACAAGCCCTGCTCCCTGTGCCCAGCAGCCCCGGGCCACGAGGAGCAAGAAGCAGCCAGGTAAGTTGCAGAGCCCCAACCGAGGCGCAGAGACCAGGGAAGGCCTCCAGAGCCCTGCTGCCCGCTTTTCCCGGCACCTAGCTGGTGTGGGGCGGCGGTGGCGGCTTGATTGGGGGGGTGGGCCATGG